TCGGCGGCGCCGACTTTATAACCACATTGATGGAAAATATATTTTGTAACGTTTTCTTAGTTTCACAAGAGTATGTAAATTAGGTTGCATAATACTGCTGAAGTATTTAAGGCGTGCGCGTAAGGTGTCTCAAGGGGCTGGTACACTATTTAAGGTTTGTTAAGTTATGCAAGAGCCATTCGAGGCATCTCTTTCAACCCTAAATTTTTTATTTTATTTACTGCTCTAATTTCCCTGAGTTTGCAAAATTGTAACGCTGTGTTTTTGTAACGCTTTACGCTGGCTTTATCAATAAACGAGATGCCCGCTCCTATTCTGTTTTTTTTGTGATTATTTAGATTAGTTACAAAACATTTTACAATCGTTTCAGTGTGATTATAATATAAAACATCTTTACGTTTTAAAAGTGTTTAAAAACATCTCCAAACCCCGCTTTTTTCTTTTCCACCGCGACTGACTGACTTTATAGCACTTAGTCCGGACTTGGGCCGTGAAAATCACTTCCGCTGTCCACGCAGGGGTTTTTAGGGGAGTCGTATTTCTTCCCTCCTCCCCTAAAAACGCTGGTTTAGAAAGGGTCTTCATGAAATTTTCAAGACAGCTCTTTTTAAATTTCACAAGAAACACGTAAACAGGAATACTTCATGAAAATTAAACACGTTTAAAATTTTATAATTTAAAATGCTATGCTAAAAATTGCTTCTACATGATATGGTTTCCTTCGTCAAAACTCACTTTGGTAAAACAAGACTTAATACATAAAATTAAGATAATGTTTACTTGTACGTTACAACAGAACTATAAAACGACTTCTCGCCCTAACCCAAAGAGCTATTAAAAACTCAAAACTTCACAATTTGCACTTTCTGAACAAAAAAAAAAACGCTGAAAGGGCGCATGCCAGGAGCAGAATCGCGCTGGCCAGTGGTACTCTGGCTCGATTGCACAGGTTACCCTCGCAGCAGTTCACTTTACACTTCTTGATTGTAGCTCCTTTTGGAGCCAATGCCTTGCAGAGCTCCTCGTTGCCACAGGCTGATTTTGCGCTACATTTTCTGGCATAACGTTCTTCTGACATCGCCAGGTCTCCCGATTTTGAATGGTAATGAATATTGGCGCAGGTTTCCTTACCAGAATCACAGGCCACCTTTTTCTGGATAGAGGCACAGTCATCCCAACTCTTAGTTGACACACAGTGGTAGCACTGGAGTCCGTGTTCTGTGATAAGAAAAGAGTAAAACCATTGTTCCTCCTGTGGTCTTTATATGAGTCGTCAAGTAGCTTTCGTTCCCCCTGAGTTGGCCCATTCGGCCTTTGGCTTCATGGGCTATCGACTCAGAGCCAATTCGCGCTCAAGGAAAAAACATTCACGACGCTACGCGGTGAATATAAAGCAAAACAATCTCGCCGTCGTAAACTGGGTGTTTTGCCAAAGTTTCAGAGTAAGAACTTTTTGAAAACAAGGGAATATCCTAGTGTTGATAATTCTGAAGGTAAGAAAAGACTTCATGGTGATTGAACAGCGTGATTTATTGTGAAGCGGTTTACTGTAGTTTACGTTTTATACGCTCGAAGCAATATTTACCACTACACAGCCAAATTGCGGAGGCTGCTTTGTCACCGTTTTTGAGAGACTGCTGCCCTCTAACCAATTGAGCTCGAAAGCCTACTTGGAGTTGGTTGTTACATTGGTTCGTAATAGGCAGTCGGCAAAACGTAAGAGGGACCATTTAGGGAAAAAATGTCTCAATCAATTTTGTCACCGATTGTAGCATTTTCTTCTGAGAGTGAAGTCCGATACTTACTTGTTGTTGAAGGGAGAGGTCGTCCTTCCGTGACGTCACTGGCGGGGCTCTCTGATCTTGAATTGACGTTATTATTGTCTGGATAATCATTTCTGCCAACAGTTTTAAACTCGTAAAGCTCATTATTTAAGCCTTCGATCTCGATGCTCTGCGTTTCAAAATGGTTCACCCAGCTGGTATTTTGAAAAGCTTCTCCCTCCACTACAAAATAAATTAATAATACAGAATTTTAGATAATTACTTAACTGAGAGAGACGTTTCATTTCTTCCTCTTCTTCTCACTCGTGCAATTTCATGACAACATATACGAATTTTTTAAATGGCCCTCACCCTCCAACAACAAATTGGTTTGTTCGTTTAACCCTAGTAATACCGGGGCGAGGTGGCGGGGTTTAGCCTCAACCCCAGCCACCCCCCCCACACACACACACACACACACACACAGACACTAAAAAGTTGAATAACTTCCAAACTGTTCAGCAGTGACCGCCAAAGTAAGCGAATTTTTCTACAAATTAACTGGGAACGTCAAACTCGACGTCACCATATTTTTACTTATTGAATTATTATGTAATACATAATTTAGCAACTCAGCGTCCGTCCTACAGAGGTGCCAGCCTTATGGAAAGCCAAAGACAACGGTTGAAGAAAAAGGTGTCCGTCATAGTCGATAGAAGTTGTCTGTAAAAGAGCGTCGACTTTGCCAGTAACGTGTGACCCTCTCACTCCCAAAGTGGCAAAAATTCCAAAGTTAATTTATTTGAACAATGTGAAAAAAAAGAGAGAAAAGAAAAAAGAAAAGAAATAAAAAATTAAAAGAAATGAATAGTACAAAGTGAAAGTACTATCATAGAGGTTTCATTTGAATTGTCACACCATAGAATTTTGTCTTCAGACTCAAAAGATAGAACGATATACTCAAATGTTAGAACCATCTAACAGGTCTAAGTCATTTACTCTGGCCGGGTGTGTAGGGGTTAACGAGCTTTCATTTATTAACATCTTTAAAAATGCTTACATTTCCTTCGATACATGACCAAGAACTCGTGCGTGTAGCCTCCACCCAGGCCAAATTTGTAAGTAACTCTTACTTTATCCACAGCTTTTCCCTCCGCGGTGGGTCTTGCTGGTTTGGCGGGAGCTGAGAAAAATAATCATTTTACAGGCATCTACATATAACTTAACGGAATTCATAACAAGCTGAAAGATCCTCTACAGTCCACTTGTGGCTATTAGTGTTAACATACACGCAGGCGCGAGGATTGCACGCGCTCTAGAATAGAAGGGCGCATTATTAGTGGGAACAGGGAGAAATTGTGAGCTTGTTGCGCCTCGCATTAGCAAATTTCGCGGATCGTCGTCGTGAAATGAAGGCAAAGAAAAGCACCTCAAAGTGCAATGTAGTTTTACCGGGGATTTAACTACTGTCCCCATTATCAAGGTATCCATAATAGGGGTGATGACTCAAAGAATGCATGCCCCGTCTGGATGTCTGGGACCAGTGGACTTTCCTTCCGGGCAGGAAAGATTTCATACTCACTTGCTCGATGGTAAAGGGGCCAGGCAAGTTTGATTGTAACTAAAACATAATTAAGACAAGCCTACAACTGACATGGAGTAAAAATTCATGGGCTTTTTAAGCCCTCAGCGAGATCATGGCAATGAGAGAGCTGACTCCAGAACTAATCACTAAAATATTGAAAAATTACTTACGAGCATATGCCACAGTTCGAGTTGTATTTCTGACTTTATCTCCCCACCCTTTGCTTGTCTGTGCTTGTATTTCTACAACATGATTTCTCTCCGGCGTCTGATTGTCCAGCAGCTTCCTAAAAACACCTGGTCCGAATTCCTGCCAGGATACCTGAAGATCGTCGCTTGGCTGCGAACCTTCGTACTGCGCAGACCTCACTCGGTATTTTGTAATAACACCGTTCGGTTCCACAGGATCTTTCCATCTAACCATGATATATTTTGCGAAGGCATAGACGTTGACTTGTGATGGTGGACCAGGTTCTAAAAGGAGGAATAAGAAATGACAATTTAATTGACTTTGGAAAGAGCGAACCTTTTCTCCGGACTTGACACGTATCGTGGTAGTGAATCTTGCATGCCTAAACCCTTTCAATGCCAATAGTGACAAAGGTAAAATTGAAAAAAAAAAATCTGATGGCCCAATCATCCGATCGTCCCAAATGGCGTCATGCCGATTGATACTGTCTCCTCTTTCCAAGACCTGCACGGTGGGTCTGGCACGAAGTGACCGCCTTATGGAGTCAACGAAAAGACAAAAGAAAGACAGTGACTTTCTCAATGTATTCATTTTAGTAGGGGGCAGTCCGTCTCATTAAGAACTCTGTTAAGAAAGAGGGGATTTTGTACTCCATAACACAACTTACCAGCTTCATCAGTCGTAGCAAAGGCTTCGTCACTGGCCGGTCCTTCGCCGCCCTCGTTGTAAGCCGTGATAGAGAAGTTGTAGTTAGTGTAAGGCGTAAGTTTCGTTACAGTATGTGACTTCTTGCTGCCTCCTGAGACATTAACAAACATCGCATCACCAGGAATTTCTCGTCGACGTCTTTCGCTCACGCGACTTTCACCCGAGTAATAAATCTGCAAATGAAAATGGACTACTGCAAACAACTGTTCTTGACACCAATTCTTGGATGTGACTCGACCGATGCCTTTGTTTGACTCGATCAATATCCACACTACAAAAAACTTTACCAAAACCTACTTCCAAGCTTAAACTAAACAAATTAAAAAAAAAAAAAGCGAATACACGCCGCACTCAGGGTTTCTTCTCTTTCCCTCTTGCTCCAGGCAAAGGGAAAAAGAGAGGTCTTGGAAGAGGCTGCTCTCACCTTATAACCATCCACACTTCCTCGAGTAACGGTGACAGGAACCCACGTCAAATTAACAGTGCGTGCCGTTGCAGCTCCAGTTTGTACATTTCCCGGCTTTCCTTTGGGCCGGTCTTGACCCGAATGTGATTGTACTACAGGACTCTCAGGTCCCAACCCCTCGTCATTCCCAGCTTGAATCTGAAATTCCCACAGCTTATAAATGCCGGGATTTGGTATCGCAAAAGCGACAACAGCGGGATCAGTGATTCTCTCCGGGTCTCCAAATGTCCCATCCGGCACCTCTCTGTACTTCAGCAAGTAGTAAAGGCCGGGAGCATTCCAATCCACTTTAGGCATTGCCTACCAAGAAAAACAGCAAAATCGTTACGTTTTGCAAGTAGAACCTCTGCTCATAAGCCCCTCCGAATATAAGCTAAATAACTAAATAATCCCTAATCAACACTTTAAGAAACAAGCCCTGACATGAGTTGTCACTAGTTTGATTTCTCTTGCTATGATATCCTATAAATTGGTGTTTCCTTAGTGTTGCAGGCACTACTTTTAATCATTATTGGTTAGATCTTCTTTGTCCGAGGTGCAGCGTAAGTCTACTAATGGCGGTTTTTTTTTCCTTTAAATAGCAGCCACGAGGACAAACTGTTGAAATATCAAAAGGAGCTTAACTGTCACGACCTCTTCGATTGGCGCATGAACCACAATATCTTAAAAGAAAGTTAGAACAACAAGGGTTTAAAGGTTTAAACCTAAGGCTAAGTCTACTTACAGTCCAAACAATATCGAGTTTCTCCGTTCCCCTTGGCATTTCCACGGAAATGGTCTGGATATTTATCCGGAGCTGTTAAAAGTACAAAGATTTTAAGTCACCTCTCTTCCAAGAATGCTTTAAAATCGAACTCAATATCAAGAAACAACCCAACAAGTTCTGCAGTGACTTTGAATGACTTACACAACACGTAATTTCACCTAGCGACTCAAAAGTCAGCATTTTTTTTACTGCGGAAGACCAAAATCAATGTGATACAGTGGCGGATTCAGGGGAGGGCCCTGGAGGGCCCAGTTCCCCGCTTATTTTTAGACCAAACTGAGGCCCGAATGGCCGAAAACATTTTTTTTGAGACCACCCCCCTCTTATCTCAGGGTGTGGATGACCGCCCCACCCCCCCTTATCTGAAGGTCTGGATCCGCCACTGCGGCATTTAACTTTCTTTTGCCCGGGGGAGGGGAATATCACTGATCTTCACATTTCGCTTACACACGTGATCGTTGAAAAGCCAAAAGTATACTCACGTCCAACATCCGTTCGACAAAATTTAGACGTGGCTACACTTGGGCGGCTGGGTCCAAAGCGGTTGACAGCTCTCAAACGGAAGCGAAGGGTCGCCCATCCGGTCAGATTAAAGGTAAAGGACGTCGCATTAGGGTTTGTGACATTTTCAATGCTATAAAACACGTTGGGCTCATATGAAGATTCCTGCTCAATAATAAACTTCGTAATGGACGCATCTTTTGCTGCTCCATTAACCCAGGAAAGCGTTGTAGTGCGGTTGAAGCAATTTGTTATGGCAAGATTTGTTGGCGGATGAGGAGGAGCACCTATAAAAATCAGATTTAAACGAAAAAAAAATGGTTAGTGTGAGAAAGCCGTCTTTTTTTCAAAACTGGTCTTTACACTAGATGGTAAGTAATTATGCCCTGTTCACACATCAGCACAACATACTGTAAATTCTGACTCCACTAACACAAGATATTCATTGTGAAAACTTTTATTTAGGATGCGTCTGTCAGTCATCTGATGCAAATGTTAAATCAATGATATCCTTCTAGCAAAATACTAATATATGTTTTAAGCTAGAACTTGTACTACGCTACTAAAAACTACCATTGAGGTCGAAGTGGCCAAAAAAAATGAGTGGAAACGTATTACCCTACTAATGCGGTGGCACGTAAAACCCTGGGGAAAAGGATCAAGGAAAATACATTACAATGTTACGTAGACTACTCCAAAATTATACTAATGGAAAAGGGTGCGGGTCTAAATACCTAATTCATAAACTATACACCGAAATAAGAAACGTTATTCCAAAACATACAGATCTGAAGACGTAACAAATTAAAATATTAATAGAAACGGAAAACTTGCAAAACAAACGAAAACTATCAGAAGGACTGGTACAAGTCTCGCGCCAAAACCACAAATAGCCCGACACTATCCCAGGAACACCAGCGCGCCTCTATACCGTGCCCTCAGAATATTAATTTCTGACTAAGTCGTTCCCATGTCTCTCAATCGTGAGAAATTACATTTACTGTGAACAACTTAGTATCAAAGTTGCATTTTATTGGAACTAAAATCCAAATTCAATTTCTTAAGTCCAAAAACCGATGTCAGTAAGTTCTGTTTAATACCTGAGACATCAATAGTAGCAGATGCTTGATCTTCAGATCTTATTGGACCAGAAGTGTAGGCCACACAAGTATAATTACCAGCTTCATCAACTGTAATGTTAGCAATTGTCAGAACCTTAGCTCCTTCAAGCCACTGAGTTTTGTTGTTGTACGTTATGACAGCATTATCCTTTTTCCAGTAGTATCTTAACTCAAGAGACGGGTCAGCGGTTGCCTCGCATCTCAGATCAACACGAGTTCCCTTGTCAACGCTTTGATCACGTGGTTGAACGACAATTATTGTTCTCTCTGAAAAACAAAATCATCAACAGTATTAATTTTACCAAATCAGAGGATACCAATTTCCGCGCGTTTTGATTAACTCCCATAACTGCCTGGCTGTTAGGAAGCTTAAACAACCACGACGACGACGGTTAGCGAAAAGGTCACCAAGAAGTGAATTAGCGTTCTTTTAAACCCTGCCTCGGTGAGTTTGTCAAATGCAGGCAAGTTTTCAAGGATTCAAGTTCTAAAAGACTCTATCCAATTTCAAAAGAAAAAGGTCAATTTATTACCATGTATTGACGTTCCTTAAAAACGCTGTACAAGGAAGTTTTACGACGGAGTCGTGCAATAGACGGCAGAGAAATGTACCAAAGGAAAGCTTAAGATGGAGCCCATCAGGAAATTGAGTAATTTTAATTTTCAGTCGAGGTTCACAAAATGACATCTTACACATGAAATTTTCAGAATTTTACCTGTGTTTTCACAATTCTTGTGAACTTTGACATTCATTTTCTCGGGCTCCCTTGAGAAATTTTCTATGGTGTTATTACAGATAACTAATGATATCTATAGCCCTTGAAAAAAAAAATTAAAAAATCCGATATTGTTTAAATTATTCTGGTACAAGGTTTTTGTCTACTGAAGATTGAAATTACTCAATTTTCCTAATGTATTCCGTCTTTATACACTTGCTCAGATAGCCAATTGCGTTTTTTACGTTGTCCTTGCCGTCGTCACTGCTTAAGCTCCCTCTAGGGAAACTTACGCCCGTCCACACGCATCCGGGTATTTTTGAAACCGCAACCTTTTTTTATTCGAATCGGCCTTCTGTCCACAAGAAACCAGTGAATCCGCTGAACGGAACCGCATCTTTTTGAAACCGCCCTCCAGAGTGTGTGTGTGTGTGTGTGTCTTTTTTTTTTTAGTCCAACGGTTTTGCGAATTTTTAATTTTGTAGACGAGATAGTCATCTTTTGTTTACTGATTTGCCGTAATGCACTAAGCATTGCACTATACCAAAAAAGAGTTGGACCTGCTCGAAAGTTTAGAGTCATACTCGTGTTGGACTAGCCTGCCTAGCCTGATGAAACTGAACCAGCCGGGTTAGAGTACGTCTGCGATGCAGTCTAGTACTGGACATTGACTCCGAGCCATATCTAAAGCTCGCTTATTTAAGAGACATACGTGCATGGTATTCTCACCAAAAACCGTAGCTGTTGCATTTTCCGTCGCGTTACCCAAGACGTTCTCTGCATAACATTTATAAAGACCCTCGTCTCGATTCTTGTCAACATTGTCAATTATCAATGTACTGTATTCCCCATGCTCTATTCTGTAGGGTGGTGATGATGTCAGTAGAGTGGTTCCTTTATACCATTTATATTGGTCTTTACTTGGCCGTGGAGCTGCTTTTGGATTACACGTCAACCGCCCTGCAGTGCCTTTGAACAAGTAGAATGGACCAAGTCCGGACTCCGCAAAAGATGGTTTTATGGCTGCAAAAGAAAAAATTCGCGTGCGAGAAATTTTACCCTTAAAGAATATACAGGCAGACTGAAGACGCGACAGCGGAAATGAAATGCGCAAAAGGCAGTGTTTATTGCATAAGTTTGTGCGGTGATCTCAACCTGATTTGTTTGCGGTTTGTTTCTTTGTTTTTCCTGCATACAAGCAATGTTTAGTATTCCTCATCTTATACAAAAGTTGCAATGTCAAGTTTTTCTTATCTAACACGCCAGTATTAGAGTGGAAGTTTTACTATTTATGCAATTTTCCAAGTGATTACCTAGAACTTTGACATATGTGGACGACACGATCATTCCATGTAGATTCTCCGCCACACATTGATAAATTCCAGTTTCATTTGGGTGCCTCACATTCTTGAAAACCAGCTTGTTGCCACTTAATGTTACCTGTACACTGTGAAATACGACATTTTACTGTATAAACACCAATAGAATACCAGGTGAGCTTTCGTGCAAAAACATGATATCTTCACATGTGAAAATAACAAGTAATAGATCGCGCCTTTCACAGCAAAAGCTATTAAAGTGAAAAAGGTTGGTATTTCATTGGTGTTTATAGCCGCTTGGAGATACGAAATTTCTCTTCTTCGCTGAAAAATATTTCACTTGTTCGCTGCGCTCACTCGCGAAATAATTCAACACTCGAAGGGAAATTTCTTATCTCCGCCGGATGTAATATCCTCTATTTCCATGATAAGAAACATACTGAAACTGTGCCTGCGACTAGCAACAAAAAAGAGGCAAGGGAGGGGAGGTTTATGTGGAACACTGTCAAGTTTAGCCTGCGAAAACAGCCGTTTCTCATTGCTCTTGGCCGCTGGGAACGTTTCGCGTGGAAGAACGTCTGTGACTCAACGACGAAAATTCCATAATGATGACGTAAATCAATGTTTACATAATATATCCGGTAGTCATGGGTTTCCACATCCAAATTTGTTCAATTTTACGTTTCCTCCTGGTCGATTTCACTAAAGTGTTGTGTTCATCTGCGAATGAACTCCAGCAAAGCTCAAATGCTTCTTCTAGAGAAGAATATGCTCCACCAATTTTGACTGTTTTGTTTCGAGATTCATCGCGTTTACATTTGACCTTCGTGGCCTTTTGTCTTTTGCCTGTCATTCGTAAACAATTTTACGTCATCAGTATGGAATTTCTGTCGCTGAGTCGCAGAAATTATTCCTTGCGAAACGTCCTCAGCGACGAAAGCGAGGAGAAACGGCTGTTTTCGCAGGCTATGTCAAGTGTAAATTGATTTTTCCGATGAGTGCAAATCTGCTTGTCATCATGCCTCCAGGGACTTTTTAGCTTCTTTCTTGGGATTGCTACCAACTTGGACAACAAAAACAACAACAGTAGTAGAACCTTTCCCACTTTTGTCCGTTGACATCTAAATAATTTGCTTTCACCTTGCACTTCATATCTTCTTCAGCTTTTTGGTGCAGGAGAAAATATTTTTTATTCATGCCTAGCACAATGTATTATTATTTTACCTCTTTATATTCAAGTTATGAACGTCATAAAGACAACTTCCAAATGCACAGCTGAATGCAACTTAGACTGAATTATAACTTTCCAGTGCAAAACGTTAAGCTCATCTAGGATGTGTAGAGTATTAAATTACATGATATTCTTATGCATTCAAATGATTCTTGAGAGCACTAAATTTTTCCGGACACTACAAATGAAATCTAGAAAAAATCAAAAGTTAGCAGTTATAACAATGTGTGAGAATAAAAACATGGTGTGGCCTTTACATTTACCAATTCACAAAGTGTGTTCTAAGAGAAACAATTGTTACAAAACTTACGTTGATGTTGTGAGTTGTTTTCCATTCTTGTACCACTTCAAAGATGGCGAAGGGTCTGCAAATACATCGCATGTTAAGCTGCCATTGTCATTAACATCAATTTCAACTTGTTGCGGAGGAGATGCTGCAAACCTTGGAGGAACTGCAAAGAGAATTAATAAAATAATCAGTTGTATTGTACAGTAGAAACCCGGTAACTCGATCGAACTCTGAAGGGACACGAAAAACAGTTCGAGTTAGCGGGGTTTGAGTTATCGGGGTCGATTGAATCTTCAATTTGCCATGTTTAAAGCAGAAAAAAAAACTACAACAAAATGCATCTTTAAAGAACAGCAACAGAAATAACACGAACAGGGTATTCTACCAAAAAAAGAATCTTCAAGTCGATCGATCGTTCTTTGCGTCTTACGGGACGCATGCCATGAATTATTTTGTGTCTTTGGGGATGTTTATGCATCAGGGACACAGGACGCAGAGGTAACAAAATCACTGCTGTTATTTAAGGTACCAATATGCTCTTTGCATGACTTGATCACGTGACCAACTTTCGGTAGACACGAAAACAGTTCAAGTTGAAAAATTATGTTAGCACAAGCTGCAAGAGCATATTAAAATTAGGTAACCTGAGATTTTTTCGGCCGTATATCTCAAAAGTAGCGATTGCAACGGCCGCCGAAAGTTAGAAGCATTTGTATGAGAAAAACAACTTTTGCGACCCAGTCACGCTTGCATGGTTTTCCATACAAATCCTTATAAATTCTAAAATTTTTAAACTCTCGTTGAATCTTTCCTTTACGCATTTAAGGGCTCAAATTGCCTTTACGAATTAAAAGGAGGTTTGGGCCCCGTTAATGCTTAAGGATTTTATGACAGTTTTGAAAATTTCGAAATTACAAGGATTTGTATGGATGGCAAAAGTTGTTTTTTCCTCATACAAATGCTTCCAACTTTCGGTGGCCGTTGCAATCGCTACTTTTGAGATATACCGCTGAAAATTCTCAGGTTACCTATTTTTAATATGCTCTTTCAGCTTTTGCTAACAAAATCTTCAAAAGTGAACTGTTTTCGTGTTTACCGAAAGTTGATCACGTGATCAAGTCATGCAAAGAACCTATTACGACATCCCTACAGTGTATTATTAAGATCAGTCCTTACAGATACCCACCCACCCCAGGAAAGGGTTGCCACACCACTGGGGTCTATGTCCCTTAGTCTTTTGGAACAGTGATGTGGGTTCTGGTTTTACGTCGCACTAATGGAAGAACCAGATAAGTGAAAGTGTTTTGTGAAGGAACATACCGTTTTTCATCCGTTTCCAAGAAGACTAGAAAAAAAATAACCGTTTGCAGAGGTTATTAAAAAGGCAGCACTTTCTTCTCAGTTATTTAAAGACCCCGAGTGTTGGTCCAGCCGAGAGTTTGAACGCATGACCTATCACTCGGCAGACTAGCAAACGACTCTCCCAGCTAAGCTAACCAGGCGGTGATTTAGTGTGACAGTAAGATTGAAGTGCTTAAGGTGGCTGAACCCAAGTTTTGGCAGTTTGTATGTCATTTGCCAAATCAATGGAAGAGAAAGGTTGCACTCACAAGCTCAAACTTGGCAACTGAAAAATATACTGATGAAAGATTTTGATTGACAGGTAAAATGTGACGTTTTTGTAGTTTTCATGGCAACATGAACGATTGAATACAACCTTACAATTTCACTTTTTTCAGTTTACATAAAATTCGCTCATTAGATTTTCCTATAAACTTGCACACAGCTTACTATAATTAATCATTACCATTTGAAACTTATTTGACCAAATTTTAACAGACGGGTTTTTAGATGATCAATAATATAATTGTACTGTAATTATTAAATGTGTCACAAAATTCGTCGGTTCAACTTCCATTTCAAATTTCTCATTATTTAAAATATGATAAAAGTAAAAATTCTGCCAAATATCACAAAATTTTAATGAGTAGATTTTGAGAAATTGTCTTCTGTGTACCATTGCCTTTTTCGCCGCCATGTTGGTTTCTCTAATTTAAACCGCCCTTAAAACTGTGTTCAGCCACCTTAATTTGATCATTAAAGGGATCAGTGCATGAGATTGAGACGGCACTAACGCCACTTACCTTCAACATTCAGCTGTATATCATGGACCAAGGGGTTTCCACCACTTTGAGAATTCTCAGCTTCACAACGGTACCTGGTCTCATGCATGTTCTGTTTAACGGATATAATGTTAAGCAGTCTTCCTTGGAAAGCAGTATCAATCTCAAAACTATCTTGTCCATGTACAAGGTTTTGCCAGTTTCCACGTTTGTCCTGCATTTTCCAAGTTATCGTTGGCACAGGTCTGTAAGTAACAAGATAACGCGCAACAGCTTTGAACTATCAGATGTCAACTGCATTTAGTTATATCAATCACTAAATTGCAAGGATTCGTGTGGCTATGCAATGTTTTAGTGTGTTACAGTCAGGTGTGTGTTCAAGGACTTTCAAGAACTATCAAGGTGCATGCAAACTCCTACAGCCACGTTCTCCGTTAATACGGACAATGAGGAGGCCACGGAAAATGTCCATATTAAGCGGGTTGAATTTAAATAAAATGCAAGGGCTTTCTTTGGATCCCCAGGGACAAAGCAAACTGTCTGTAATAACTAATGAGGCATCCGTATTAAGTGGGTGTCTGTATAGCGCGGTTTGACTGTACTATTATTCTTTTTTTTTCTAATTTAAAAGCAAGACAAAATTTATCAATTCTGGTAACAAATTGTGAGTTCTCTCATGCAATAATGTTCTTAACAGCTACAATGTAGCCGTTTAAACAGTACGGAGCAATATAAGAGAGTCAGCTTTACAGCTTGCCCATTAACAAGCATGTACAGTACTTATTTAAAGCCCGAGAGTCAATTTAACATTAGCCCCCCAAACTTTTGACGAGCAGGATCAATAATTAATTAACATTACAATTTTATTGATTATAATTTACACCATTACATGCAAGACAGTTAGTGTAATAATTTCACTATGCCAGACCAGCTTGAAAGCAACTCTCGATCCACGTGAATATATCAGGAAATTAAAACACTTGTCTTAAAATACTTCTGTGATTTGACTTCCTGCAGAATACTTCACTTGCCTGTCCGACACGTAAAGAACAGAATGTACTAGCCCAATCACACAGTCTACTTGTTTCCGGGCTATTGGACAAATTACAATTATTGGACGAGGTTGAGCAAAATATCGTGATTTGTCAGTGGCGAGCAGATTATTATTTGCCGAAGCCGAAGGCTGAGGCAAATAATTGATGTACGAGACACTGGCAAATCGCGATATTTTTGCGATAACCGAGTTTAATAAGTGTTTTGTCATTCGATCACCACGTTTGTTTTTAACGACCATTTTCGGGAAGCGAAGCGATCTGCCTTTTTTCACGCAAGAACGATCGCAAGAAGGAGAAAAGCAAGGTTTCGTTTACGCATTCGAAGAATATTATTTGCAGCCAAACACAGTTGCGCGACATTGCGACATGAGCAGACCATTATTTTTAGGCAGTTATTTGCAGGTCACGTGGTGGGCTTTCGACCAATGAAAAGGAAGAAAAATTTGCATCAAATGATAATTGGCTTTCTTGGCACAGAGAACAGCCAATCACAAAGCAAATCAGTGCATCAGAAGCAGGTAGACAGGACATTAGAAATGGATAGAATGTGCCATGAACCGTTTAATAGCTGAGGTAAATGTTTGTATGTAGTTTAAGGTGAACAACTTACCAGATACCCAATTTTAATGAATGGGTGTAAGAAGCAGTTGGCTGTTAGGGACGCTTTTGCATTGACAGCCTACAGTTCTAACCCCAAAAAGTTGGATGCCTAAATTTTCTGAAAACAAACCCATCCAGTGCTACTGCCATTGATATTGGCTTAAATGAACAGAATTCATTCTGAAAATTGTCCATCCTAACTATTTATTTATATATGTAGAATGTATGTATATACATGTATTTCCTTATCTTATTACTATTTATTTTGTTTTGCCTAATTTGTAAATGTACCCATGCAGGCACTCACCTTCCAACTGCAAGGCAATACAAAGTTTTATTTCTTCCCTCCACAGCCGTTTCTGTGGCAGCAGGTATAAGCCTCCATGCAGGCGCTCTTGGTGTCCCTGGATCTGTTTGACCTAAGACAAAATACACAACACTCTGTAAAACATTCACCCTTGCTTTATGCTATAGCCTACCAGTAAAGATACATCTTATGTAACATCTCCCCTCCCTTTTTTCATTAAGACTTGTTCATCAGCAAAAAATGGCATAAGTTATAATAATATAAAGAACCTCCATCTTTCCAAGTTAGCCTCAAACATTCTGTATTGAATAGTTTTGATTTTAATTTTTGGTGGCATGAAAGTGAAAACAGAGAATAGCATAATCAATTTATTATATGGACACCAGGTCAAAAGGACACTCCCAAAATGTTACATTTAATATAAATACACGTATTTAATGGGATGGAAGTTCCTCCTTCAATCACTGAGATTTCGTTCTGTGTTAAAAAAAACCAAAGAATTTACCTGCAATTTTCTTCTTTTTAAAAATACCAGAACTTTCAAATCTGTTTGCTCCAGTCATAAAACATCTGATTCCTTGGCTGTCATACTCTGCAAAATCGTCAATGTCTTGCTGGGTAACATACATGATTAATAGTTGCCCTGTCTGTGATATGGCTCGTCGATCATTTCTCTTGAACTGTATGTCCACAGTATTGATTTTTCCCTGCCATGAGTACCTGACACCATAACTGGCAGAGTGCTGTGGACAATCAATACTAATCTCTTGCCCAAGATCTACAGACTCCTCCCGGACAATTTGATTGGTGAATGACCCTACAACTGTACAAGGAAACAAGAATAATATTATAAACTAGTAATAACCAAAGGTTACGGAGTGCAGAGACAACGGCTGAAGCTCAAAACACTCTTGCTCCAGTGCTGCGCTTCCCGTAAGTTTCACGTGATAGATGGTCAAAACAAGCTTGATCAGATTATGAGTGATAGAAGGTCCAAACGTGTGATCAAATTGTGTTCTGTGCATTCAATTCATTCTAAGTAGAAGTCCAGACAAATGCTGTCTACATACATGTGACGCATGCATAATAACAACCTAGATATTATGATTGCGGGCTCCTCTTGTCACCCCCAACTAGTCAGGGTTGCACTTACATGTAGTAGCATTAAGCACATTTGTGATTGAACCCTGGATTTCACAGGTTCAGAGCACCTGGCTCCTTTCAGGTTTTCTTAGAGCACAGCCATGAGTTTTTGATTCTTGCGACGTAGAGGACTTCGCTTAGGGTTATAATAAAGCTAGGACTCTTCACTTTTTACTTGCCTTTTGCAGGGCTAAAAAATGTCAAATCTGGTAGTCCGCCGGGGAAAAGAGATATTCTTGCTGGGCAAGTAACTTTCAAAGCTGACTTAACTGAAGGTTTCAGCCAGGTCATCCTCTAACAAAATCATAATTACACTTTAGACAAACAAGAAATGGCCTTGGACAAGCCAAATGTGAGGGCTGCTTGCCCAAAGGACAAGCTGGAATTCATTGTCTTTTTTTTTCAAGCTCTGCATCAAAAGCACAGCCTTAGGCTTTATTGTTTTGTTTTTTTTGTTGTTGTTTAGATCTGTTGAACTGCTTATGCTAATGATACGGTAATGACTCCTTACCCGTAACAGCAACCTGTATCTTCCTGCTGAATGTCTCGATTCCAGTAACATTGTCCCTGACAAAACACTGGTAATTTCCACTCTGTGCACTCTCAAGGTAACTTCCGTATAAGGTTCCATCAACACCAATGGCGAACTTACCACCCGTCGTAATTGCTGTGCCATTGTGCTTCCAGGTCCATTGCAAGTTATTCCCAACAGCATCACATGGTAATTTCAAGGCATTTTGTCTACTAAACTTAACATCCTCGGGAGCAAGTAAATCCTTGGTTGGAAAGTGAACAATTCTTGGCGGGTCTGCCACCTGTTGACCTGCAATTTAGACAACGAGAATGCAGTTATCTGTGACTTTTACGCCCATTTGTAGGCCCAGCAACATGTACCCATAAGGAGGCGTATGTTACCAAGGGATTAACAGACCTTGAACTCTTGATCTGGAGGTCTGGGTTTCAAGCCTTGCCCATCGAGTTTCTTGCTGTAGCTGGTGCTGTTTCCGTCGCGTTACCCAAGAAATTTTCTGCATAACATGTGTATGGCTACAATTTGCTCCATAATATGTGTATGGTCCCTCGTCTCGATTCTTGACAACATTCTCAATTATCAATGCACTGAATTCCCTATGCTCTATTCTGTAGGGTGGTGATGATGTCAGTAGAGTGGTTCCTTTATACCATTTATATTGGTCTTTACTTGGCCGTGGAGCTGCTTTGGTTAAGTATTCCTAATCTTATACGAAAGTTCAGTACCCAAAAGGACACACACTAGACTCCCGCTAGAGCCCGCTTAATGGAGGTGCCCACTAAATACAAGATTGTTCTACGAAAAATATAGGAAGCATAGACTATAATACATAGGCTAGCTGAAGCATGGAATTTACCGTCAAGCCCGTATCTCACGAGTGAACGCATATCGATTTGAATGCAAGTGGTTAAATTCCAAGAATTTATATCTATTATGCAAACTATAAATATGATGTCTATCAAAAATAATTATTAAAAAAGTCGTTGTTCGCCCCCTCCCCCTTTTTCTTAGTAACTTCATAAACCCGAGCAAGCATGCAATGGATGTAAGGCGACGACTATGGACTTCAACGGCAGGTGTCTTCATTGTAACACAAGTAGTTCACTGATTGCCTGATATTAACACAGGTAAAATTATGGTATTTTGACGTGCGATTGGTGGCAGTTTTTCTTAGTGGCAGAAATCCCTCTTAAAGCTGTAGTTCATATAGATAATATATATATATATATATATATATATATATATATATATATATATATATATATATATATATATATATATATATATATATATATATATATATATATATATATATTTTTTCGCAAGATCACGGGTGATGCTTTCTTCAATAGGGGAAAAATACACAATAATGTCAATATTGGGTACAACAAACTAACTCTGAAGATTCTCTGAGAAAACTGGGTTTGAGGGGAAATGTATTGTTGCTACATGCTAACTCATATAACGTGACAATCACTTTCTTATCATTTTAACCATAGATAAAATCTCGTTAACACAAGGATTGTATGCGCTGGTTGAATGAGAGGTGGGAAGGGATGTATTTGTTTTGATTCGATGACATCGTCGTATTGTGCAAACAGGTTTCGTACAAATTTTTGGATCCAAAATTCAAGACTTTTTCCAAAACAACAAATACCAAAAATGTACACGATGCTTGTCATTAACGGTATTGAAACCCAAAACCAACGGGCGCTGCTAGAGCACAGCCCTACAAAGGGCAACCATGTCCTGCCATTTGTTCGTCACTGTCAAAATCTGGTCATTTCTGACAACTGTAATACCATAAATTTCGCACCCTGTTGTAGTACGTTGGCAGGTTTCACAAAACATTACATCTTCAGTAAATTCATGACTTGCATAATTACCGTTTGTCAGTGTTGTAAGACATATGACTGAAAGACAGAGAATAATCTTCCACATTCTGAGGAATCAAATACTCCTGCAACAAACACAAACAAACAAAAACAATGTTTCATTCATCATGGCGGAGCCTCCATTGCTATAGAAAATGGTAACCTATCGATGCAAGAAAATTTGGTTATGACGTCAGCGTACTCCCGCCCGTACGCCCCTACGGATTGGCAGGGAGGGGCTAAAGCAGACTCTACAAGGGAGGGCAAGGAGAGTCTAAGACATTCAGCTTGCGTTTGTCTTGGCGAAACGTTAAGCAGTTTACCTAAAGGCAGCCAATGGAGTTTTTCCAGTAAAGATCTTGAATCTCTAGATTGTTTGCCTTACGACAAAGACCTTTGAAAACATTGTTTTTAGGTTGGTCACGCTTTTAATTTGGTCACGCTCTAGGACCAATCTAGTATCAGACTGGACAAAGTTTTGACAGGTGAACTCGTGCGTAAAACTTCTGCTGTATCGCCAAGTTTGTTTACCGACAACTGACTGAAACCTCGTGTACTTTTAAGTTTTAAACCTTTTGTGTTCTTTCAATGCTGTCACAACATGAAATACAGCCTCTTTCAAGATTCTTTTGTTGTTGAAAGTTGGTTTGCTGTTGCTGTTGTTGAGGAAACTCGGTCATGTCTTCCTGCGATCGGATATGATTACTGGACAGATAAAAGACCAAGAGCAAGCAGTTTGTAGCTAAAGATTTAAATGGCAATTACAGAGATGAAATAAAGTAATCATAAAGTATACCCCAAAACTTTTCTGGTTTGTCCGACTAAAACGATTTTGACCGGGTCAAAAAGGAAAAAAACAAATGCAGGCCTCCTCTGTTATTTATACAATCAATCCTGTTTAATCTTTATTAAGCAGCCACGCTATGGAATGGGATAAGTGGCTAATTAAGAAGAGGTCACTTAAGTCAAATGTAACGAAGATCATCGCAGTTTTATTAAGCCAACAGTATTCAAAGTAGGGCTGTACTAGACTCATACGCTTTTCATTTAATTTATCTGTACCCTTAAGCACTTACATGAAGAGGCGTGCCCTTTAATTAAGCTATAAAGCGCGGGATTAACAGGAATTACGTTTTTTCCGGGGTGTTTTCTCGCTGGTTCTCTATATACAGTGGAATCGATTTCTCGAACCCTCGGATTCCCGAACCTCTCGATCTCTCAAACCAAACCTTGTTTCCCTTGGATTTGCTTCACTCAAGATCTATAATTTCACCACCGATTTCTCGAACCCTCGATTTCTCGAAACTCCTGATAACTCGAACCAATTTTGGCTCCCGTGGGACAAATTGACCCTCGATAACTCGAACCTGCGACGTCAATTACATTCACGCCGTTAAACGAATTGACACTTCCGGATAAGCTGTTTTATCGCATTTTCATCACACAACAAGCCACAAATCCGTCTGTCATCAGTCTGAAAGGTACAATGACTGTATTCTGTTATATTTCGTTTTTGTTTTTTAAGACCCTGTTTACATGGAGTGGGGGACCCCGGTCTAGTGGGGTAGGTTGCTTTTGTTTTGTGTCCCTCAGAGCGTGAAAACAAAAGAAACCAACCCCACTAGACCGGGGTCCCCCACTCCATGTAAACAGGGTCTAAGTACAGTACGTTTTGTTTGTGAACAAAGGTCAAGATCTACATTAAAAAGGATGTATTTTTGTTAAAATTTGAACACTTACTCATAATCACACAACACCCGGCCAATTAAGCGTAATTTGATGCCACTTTCGATTTCTCGAACTCCCGATTTCTCGAACCAATTTGCGTTTCCCCTGGAGGTTCGAGAAATCGGGATTCCTCTGTATTAGCAGTTCCCAGGCCCCACTGTTTCTTTTTCTGCACGCTTTTATAGATTCACAGAGACGCTTAGGAAGCCAAAGACACGTGCTAGCTCGTGATATAGGATTATTATTTATTCACCGTTCCGGTTCCGCAGAATTGGGAAACATAACCTCGAAGAGAGAAAACTAGAGAAAGTGGATAAGATACTTTGTTATTTCCTGTTGCTCCATTTTTCCGTTTTCTTAGGCTTCCGATGGCTTTTTTTCTCCGTTACTGTCTTTCTCTTGTATTAATAATTAAAGGTGCAATTGAAGGAAGGAACATGTCACCCTGAAATTCTACTCCTGTACCTTTAAAGAACATATCACTTCTGTACTTCGTTACTTGCACTGGCTTCCGATTCACAAACGGATGTTTCAAAATACTTTGATGACATTTAAGGCGTTAAACGGGCAGTCTCCTGTTTTCTCCGAACTAATTTGGCGTTACCAGCCAACTAGAACTTTAAGGTCTTCTAGTTGTAGTTACTTTTCGGTTACCAACTGTTCTACCAATGCAAATCATGTGGGGATAGATCTTTTACTGTTGCCTCTGCCAAGTTATGGAACTCGTTAAGTCCAAACTAATAAAAACTACCTTTTCAATTTGTGATTTCCCTTTTCCTTTGTATTCATGCAGTGTACACATATCTCACTATTATTCCTGCAACTGCCTATTATTAGTTTTATAGTATCCAAATCATATACTGATCACAGCAGTATTTAGCAGTGCTACATTTTTATTAAGTTTTCTCCATATTGTTGGTTTTCACACGACGTCACTAAAATTCAACCTAAAAAACTATCCATCCTACCGAGATTTTATTTTCACGATGCATCAGAGCAGCTGAAAACTAAGCTTTCGCGTGACGCGGCGTTTACATGGCGGCCAAGAGAGCTGTCATGTAGATTAAAAAAAATGACTTATTTCAGGAAATTTTGCTATCTAAACAGTTCATGTGTTAGAAAAAGTATTACCTTAATGTTTATGAGTTTTTCCAAGAATAAATTCACGCTTTTGTAGCAAACTCGGTACCAAATGTTTCTGTTGGTTTCCGTCCGCCATGTTGGAGCTCATCCAGGTGAGCACCAGCATGGCGTCTCCATACAAATCTCTATAAGTTTGGGTAAAACATTTCTTCGAATATCCCTCTGACCTGAATCTTCGCGAGGGTCTTTGTATATGTACCTCCTTTCATTTCACAGATTCTGAACTTTATCTAATGAACGGTTTTGATTTTTACTTTGATCCATTTTGAATGGCGTGACCTGGCACTGAAAACCAGCCATAGAATTCCTATGTACTAAAAATTGTCTTTTTTCTGTTTTGATATATATACCTTTATTAATTTATGTAGGTATTTTAATATTTTTCTTAATGTTACTTTAAAAGCATTGAGACTTTTTTAATAATGCTCTAAATATATTATTATTATTATTATCAATTATCATCTTGCTTAATACTTTCTTCACACATGACAAAGCGGCTTGATCTTTTCTTCTGCTATTTCGTACGAAAGGAGGGTTACGCAAAAGCAGAGCCAGTCGAGTAAGACAAGAAACATCTGACCGAAAAACTATCACCGACTATCTATCCAACGGTGCCAAAGAAGAAAGAAAACTCTCATGGACTATCATGAAAAATCTGAAAATGTTGAAAGCGCGTTACAGTTGACAGTAGATGACAGTTGATCAAAAACTAGGTCCCTTACGGTCGCGGTAGTTGAAACTAACTTCGAGCATGCAGTAAAACCCTGCGAGTATAAGAACCTGGTTTTTAAGAACCCGTTAGGCCAGCCCCTCCAATACAAGAACCTGTTTAGCCTAAAATTTGACCCAAATTATAATCTATACAAAAAAAAATCTTTGCGCTTGGGCAAATAAGTCAACATTCAGGATCCTCTTTGGGGACATAGGTGCCTTATCACTCCAGCTGCAATGTAATGGTATGCAAATTTTACATAATGCATACATGTAAGTTGAATACCACCTGAAATACTCTTCGCTACAATATATATTTTTTTTCTTCAGAAAATAAGAACCTATTTAAGAACCTAAATAGCCTAAATTTGTGCTAATTATCATTTATGTAAAAAACCTGTTTAGGCTAACTTGGGAATATGCAGGTTCTTACTCGCGAGTTCTTGTTGTATCAATTTTCATGACTGTTTGGCCCTAAAAATGGTTCAAATGGCGCTATAAATCTGTACAAATATCAGTTCAATCAACAGAAACTTGGACTCTCGACATCTCTTACCTTGACAGAGACACTTGGGAATAACTTAGAACAAAAAAAGGTAAGTTCCAAAACACGTTCAAATGGATTGCACTATTATCACCAAGATCAGTTAACAAGTAGCTGTTGAAATGCCTGCATGCAATGCATATAGATTTGGGCAGGAAGGTAACCTTGGATGACGGAAGCGCGTCATATCTGACATTCATTTTAATCTTTTTTTTTTTTTTTTAGTATGATCACGTCGTCGACCGCACACGAAAAATCATATCCTACTTGAAGAAGAAAGGGTATTTATGACTTCCTCTGTGTTAATGCTAATGCATAACGAAATATCTACGTAATATCTGCTGTTTATTTACTCTCGCCTCTGACGCACATCATTATATATAACTCTAGATTTTCTCAGGCTGGCACTTTCGTCATACAATTGCAAAATTCGAGAACACAGCAGAGGATTAAGTCGTTTTCTTGCTCTGGTACTAAGGCGTGGAATTGTATTCTGCGAATTGTAGTGTGCGATAAAGCATCCCGTGATATCTCCCGTTTATTTACTCTCGCCTCTGACGCACATCATTATAACACTAGATTTTCTCAAGCTGCCATGTACACTTTCGTCATACAATTGCAAAATTCGAGAACACAGCAGAGGATTAAGTCGTTTTCTAGTTCTGGTGCTAAGGCATGGAATTGTATTCCTCTTAATATTCGTTCATTATCAAAACATACTAATTTATGGCGGCAATTCATCGACAACTTTTAGGTATTCTATTGTTTGAGGATGATTATGTTGACACGCTTACCTCTAGATTTAAACAGCTTTGAACTCTGCGATATTTTCTCATTTCGTTTAATATAAAATAATATTTTTTTTCTTGCGTTTTTTTTCCTTTTCCAGCCTTCTGTTAACTTTAGTATCGGCTATATGTAAATAATATAAATTAATATTTTATCTGGGCCTGACCCGCCTCGTTTAGTGTTGCAGCTACTTTGCTGGTCCGCACCATAATCTATTGTACAAATATGTATGTGAAGTAAATAAAGGTTGTTTGCCTCATAATGTCACGTAATAGAGAAAAAAATCTGAGCTGTTTCATGTTCCTTTGAGCATCTGTATATACAAAATCACAATTTCGTGTGGCAAAATCCTTCCCTATATTCCTGGGTAATTTTTCATAACGGGACGCTCTCCGTAATTAAACACTAACATCACTAGGAAAATGCATAAATTAACCTCTAGAATATTGTTCATGTTTTTTTTCAGACAAATTTTGTTGGTTTAGTCAGTTTCTCAAGAGCACTCAGGACTGAGATGTGGAGGCCTTTCATCGAGTTTCCGTTTTCATGCCAGGAAATGACGAGAAACCCACAAAAATTTCATTTCATGCAGTTAGTCACGTTTATACTACTACATGATAAATTTCTGCAATATGATTGGCTTAGAGCAGTGGTATTTCAGCTTAATTTGAAATACCTACATGTGGAAATTACAAACCTTTTGTGGGTAGTAGTATAAACAAATAATAGAGACCTTTAGCATCAAGTAAACCGCGAACCGCAGAC